TGGCCCAGTCGCTCCCTTTCCTCGGCCACCTCGCTGTACAGCCGCTGCCGCTGCTGCTGCAGCGCCCACTGCTCCTGCTCCAGGTGCTGCTGGAACCTGCGGGATGGTCAGGACTGACTTTCGGGGCGTAGGGATGGGCAGTCCCAGGACTCACCCACCGAAGGGGCACAGGCCAACCACCGACCTGATTCAGAGCTCGAGAGCAGCCCCTGGGGCCCTGTCTGGAACTGGCCCCTCCCCCTCAGCAGCTGAGGCCCCTCAAAGCCACCGCCCGGGGGCAGGCAGGGCCACGAGGACCTTGCCCATCAGCCAAGCTCCGTAATTCCCTGAGCTCCAGGTCCTCGTGGCACTTCGGGAAGTGGCTGTGGAGCCGCGTCTGGGCTCCCTTTTCCCGTTCAGCGTTGCCCCATGAGTATGGAGGGCTGGAGGCAGGTGCCTGGTGGGGCCTTATCCACCTCCCCTGCCTCCGGCCTGAGGGTGCCAGGTGCCTGGCTCCATGACCTGAGTAAGCTCGTGCCAGGGCCTCGTCCTGACCCCACCTTCGGGGAGAGACTGGGGGACCAGCCAAGCTGCATCTGGGGTGGACCAGCCGTGACAGGCAGCAGCGCAGACAGGAGTAGGTGGCTTCCAGGCTCTGTCCTGGTGGCGCAGACAGTGTGGGAGGGGCTGCCACTGGTCCCTGTGGCCCACAGATCCTGACCACCACTGGGCACGTCCCCGGTCCCCAGGACTCAGGATGCAAGAGCAGGAGTCACCCCTCAGACCCCAGGCCAAAGGAGTGAATGAGAGACCGTCCCTGGGCCCCAAGGTCAGAGCTGGAGGGGCCGTGAGGCCGCCTCTCTAGGGGTCAGCTGCTCTGGGGCCAGTTCTGAAAGAGTGGACGTCTGGTGGGGGTTCCGAGCCCTAACGCTGGGAAAACACCCGTGCAGAACCTGCAGACCTCGGCGGGCATGGACTGCAGACATCAGCCCGAGGACACTGGCCTGGCTGAGGAGGCTGGGCCCCTCCAGGGCCAAGTGCCCTGCATCCTCCCTGGATGCTGCACCAAGACCCTCGCCCACCTCTACATGGAAAACCCACTCCGACCTTCAAGGATTCCCTGACTCCCCACCCTGAGGGTCCTGGCCCCACCAGCCTGGGGCCACCACCCACCGCTGCCGAGCACGCTCGCGCTCCTGCTGGCCCAGCGCCTCCTTCTCCCGCTCCAGCTGCTCCCGCAGCTCCTCAGCCTGGCGCAGGCAGCGCTGCGAGGCCCGCTCGTCCGACTGCAGCAGCTCCGCCTCATGCAGGCTCTTGAGCCTCCGCACCTCCTGCTTGTGCCTGGCAATCAGCTTCTGGATCTCGGGCTCCAGGCCTGGGGGCAGAGCACTGGCTAGGGCCATGTCCAGCTGGGTGGGCCCGGGAAGCCCAACCCTGGCACAAGGCTGGCCTGTCTCAGGGCCAGAGGGGACCCCGCCCACCCAAGGCCTCCTTGGATCCAACCTGAAGCACAGCTGAATCTGACGCCCAGGAAGTGGGGAAGAGGCCCCCACAGGGCCACGGCGCCTCCCCCAGCCTGTGGGGCTCAGGACTCCCCGAGACTCTTGGCTGATGGCTCCCAGGCACCCTGACAGCAGGTGTCCAGAGCAAGAAGACCAGGCCTCAGGGAGCCCTGCACACCACCCAAGGGTCCGAGGCCCCTTGAGACCCCAACACCCACCAGCCTCCTGCCCCATCCCCCTGCCTGCACCTGCCTCTTCCCGTGGCTCACTCTGCTTCCTGTGGCAGGGTCCACGTGCCACAGTCATCCACAAACTCCCGATCTCCCCTAGCCCAACCCTGAGGAAGTGAGGCACTGAGCCCCCTTGTTTCAGTCCACTGCCTGGGTGCTGGGGGCCGGGCCAGGCTCCTGTGTGGAGCCCACCTGCCTCTAGGATCACAGCAGAGGCTGCAGGGGAGGCCGTGACAGGGGCGGTTGGGGCATGAGTGTTCACCTCTGCCCAGGAAGGTTTCAGACTACATGAATGCCTGAAATTATGGCCCTCTCAAAAGAAGCCCCGGCCGCAGCGCCCATCCCACACCTGGCCGGCTCGCGGGAGGGGATGGCCCACCTCGGACAGTGACCTCCTTGATCTTCTTGGTTTTCTCACTGATCCACTTCTCCCGGCGGACTTTCTCAGTGGCACTCATTAGTTCTTTGAGTTTTTTAATCTCCTGTGAGCAGGAGAACAGGTCAGGAAGAAATGATGAGAAGATACCCCCATCCCTTTTCCACCCTGTGGGCATAGGCAGGGCCGGGCTTCCAAGTTCACTAGCACAAGGCTGGGGCTCGTGGGTGGGTGTGCTGCCCCGAGACATACACGCCGGCTCCAGAGAGCCATGGTTGCCCTCCCCAGCGCCGGGGGCCAGGCTGGAGGCCCAGGTCCACCCAGTCACACACCTTAGTGGCCTGAGAAATGGGAGGGCAGCCATAGGCCTGCAGAAGCCCTGCCCCAGAGAGGAGCGCTACTGCCTGTCGGGATGGCCCCAGAGCCTGCATTCTTCCACGTGACTGGCAGTCCTCAACTCCGGCTGTCAGCCACGGTCACGCACAGGGATTTTAAAATGCCAGTGCCAAGCCCCACTCCAGAGCCTGGGCTCGGGACCATCACTGCCCAAGCTGGTAGGAAGCATAGCCAGGGAGGCTGAGGCCCCCAGGGAGCCCCACACAGTGCTCCACCGACATCTGGTCAGCAGAGAGAACAGGTCCCGTGGCCCAAGGACCTGGCAGTGGGGCAGGCCAGGCAGAGACTCCTGGGTCCATGGCGACCGTGCTATGGCCGGGCAGGGACTGTGCGTCCACATCTGTGACAGCAGGCCCACGGCCCCGCCCCAGAGCCTGGCAGCTAGAGAGGCAGGAGTGGACTAGCTCGGTACCACGGTGCTCCCCCAGACAGCCCCACCCACTGCTGTGGCCCTGACACTCTGAGGCACGAATGAGGACTCCGAGTCCGACCCTGTTCTGGGGGCTGTGCAGGCTGAGCCTGGCCTGTGAGCCCGGCCTGGGACGCTGTGCAGTGGGGAGTGAAGCCTCACCAGCTCGTGCTGCGCCTGCACCTGGGCCACACGCTCAGTGCATCTCTGGTCCTCCTGCTTCAGCTCGGCCACCACAGCCTCGCACTTTTCACTCAGAACCTTCTTGTCTTCGATCAGCTGTGTTGGGGACCAGAGGTGAGGTGGCTGCACCAAGGCCCCAGCCCAGCAGGACCCCTGATGGAGGAGACCCTCCCAGCCTCCGAGGGAGGCTAAGAGCAGCCCTCTCATGGGGCTGCCCCTCCTAGGTTTGTGGATGGACCCTGGGGCCAGCGGGAGGGCATGTCTGCAAACACGGGCCCAGGCCTGCATCCGCCGTCCTGTCCTCAGCTGGGGGACCCAGAAAATGTCAGAGAAGCCCCAGCCCACCCCTTGCAGTGATGTCAGGGTCTTCCTAGGATGAGGGTAGCTTTGTCGTGCCCATCACCCAGCCCCGGAGGAGGCCCACTGTCTGCCAAAGGGTGTTAGGACCACACCAGCCTCACTGCAGGCCCCAGGCCAGACCCCAGGTCAGGACACACCTGTGATGACCACCAAGCAGCCCCTAGAGGCCCCTATTCTCACGGACCCCAGATCTAGAGTTCTCTCCAGAATAGGATCCGGCCAGGGCTGCGACTGAGCTGAGGGGCCGGCGGGACACCCCTACTACCCTCGCTTGGGGCAGCTCTGGGTAAAGACAGGAGTGTCCTCTCCAGGGCATGGACGGCTGGGAACGGCACGGGAAAGGCTTGGAATGCAGCCAGCAGATACCTGTGTGACCCCCAACACAGGAAGAAGCTCACTAGCCCCTGACTCTGGAAGTCTCCATGAGCCACGAGCTGGGTCTGGGCCCCTGCGGTCCCCAGGCCGCTCACCTGGTCGATGAAGGCCAAGTGCCGCTGGATGGTGGCCTCGTAGTGCTCCCTCTGCCGCTGCAGCTGCCGGCTCAGTGCCTTCTCTGTCTCCTTGACCCGCCGGACCGTGAGGTCTCGCTGCTGCGCCTGCAGGGTGTGGGCAGAGGAGGGAGGCGCTGGGACCAGTGGGCCCGGCCTCGGCAGGTAGGAGGCTAGGAGGGCCTAGGATTAGCAGTGCCCGCAGCGTTACCAGCGCTCTCTGCAGCAGCAGCATGGCCTGCTTCTTCTCCTCCACCTCCAGCTTCAGCCGCATCACCGACGTGCTCGCCTCGGACCCCAGCTCCAGGGGCCCGGGCCCCGCCTCCAGCACCCAACCCTGCAGACACAGCGAGCGTCAGGCAGCAGTGGCAGAGGACAGGGAGGCAGCCAAGGACCTGACTCGATGGCCCTGCAGCCCTGCCCTCCGGGGACAGAGGGGCTGCTGCACATGGGAGCCCGTGGGAAGCCGGAGGGCAGGTGGCAGGCGGCCTGGCAGAGGCTGTTTTCATTACTCAGTACAGGAAATGGGGGCCGTGGCCTCAAGAATAAAAAACAAACCATTTAAAAAGTTCTATGCTTCCCAGCTTCCTGCCCTGTGACAATGAGTTCACGTCACTGCTCCATTTAGCCTGGCTGCTGGTGTTCACCAAGGACAAACCAATGGGTGGCCCAGAGGACACAAGGCTCTGGAGGCCTGAACTATCCACACATACAGGCTCGTGGAGGCAGCTCAGGGCAGCGGGGAGGTGGGTGCAGTTGGGGAATGTGGGCCCTGCCACCTCCACCCTGAGAGAGTCCCGTGGTGGGGGCTGCACAACTGGGTGGGTACATGGTACGGGACCACCTCCTGCTGGGGACCAGGTCGGGGCTGGCGAGGGACCTCCTCCCCCTGGGGGCCAGGTGGGAGCGGGCAAGGGGCAACCTCCTGCTGGGGGTCCGGCTGGTCCTGCCCAGACTTCTCCATCTCGTCCAAGAAGCTCATGATGCTTTGTAGCTTGGCCTCCGAGAGCAGCGTCCCATCCTCAGGGGGTTCGGGGAACGCACTGAGTTTTCCAAATTTCTCCAGGTTGTCAGCTGTCAGAGAGCTGGCATCGTCCTCCTGTGGGACAGGAGACCAGCATCAGGGGCTGTCAGGGCAGCCTGAGGACTGGGGGTCCCCAGGGACAGAGGTGGCAGCTGAGGCTGGGCTCTGGGAGGGAGGGTCGCGACCGAAGCAAGAAGGAGCCCGTGGCACCCCCATTTTCCCAACCCCTACAGCCACCGCATACTCTGTGTGGATGGCACGGGTGGACAGACTGGGCAGGGCGGGGCGCACACTGCGGTCACCTCGCTGGCCCAGGCGTATCTGCCCCTGTGATGGGCCCTGGGGCGGGGCAGCGGCTCCGGCTCCTTCTCCAGCAGCTGCAGCGTGTGCAGCAGCTCCTCCAGGGGCCCCCTGGATTTGGTGCTGCCCCTGCTCGGGGCCACCGTCTCCAGGTTGTCCCCAGCTGCATCCTGGGCGAGAACGTCCTGCAAAAGAGCAGGCAGACAGATGCAGCAAGGCGCAGAGCCCCGAAGGTGCCGCGGGAGCTCCCCAGTCCTGACATTCAGCCTCTGGAAGGTGAGGCCAGGGCTCAGACCTTCCCACCCAGTCTCTGCAGCTGCTCAAACCCAGAGCAGCTCCAGCCACCAGGGACTCCTCCCAGCACCCCACTCCTGGAAAACAGGCTGTGCAGCCCCCTGGCCCCACCATGGAGCAGCCTGGGAGCCTTGGCTGTCACGTCACCCCTCGGAGCCGGAAGCTCCTCTTCTGTGGATGAGGATGCAGGGCCCCCGACCCCAGGACATCTGTAAAAACCCAACAGGTCCACCCCAGCGAAGGCTCCCCTCGGGGCAGCCAGCACCGTGCATCAGAACAAGAAGATCCCCTGGGTGGCCTCTCCGGGCACGAGTGGCCCCTAGAGCAGAGGAGCGGCTGGGACATCTCAGCTCGGGACACCCCTGGCACAGACGCAGCCCTTAAAGCCAAAACCACAAGGGAGGGAAGGACAGCTGCACCCAGACCTGCGTCCTGTCCTCTGGAGGCTGCTGTGGGTCTGGGGACGAGCTGGAGGCGGGCAGGCAGCAGTCTCCAGGGCCTGCAGCAGGGAGGCCGGCACCTGCACAGCAGAACACAGCATCATCCCACAGAGAACATCCCGGGGCAGGCAGCAACTCTGGAGGCACCCCTGGGAAGGAGCCAGGCATAGGGGAGGCAGAGGCGACCCCAGAAGCAGAGGAGCTGCCGGGGATCCATGGCCTTTTGGGTGTGGAGCTGTGGAGGATGAGTGCCACCCCACCCTTCCACCCTTCCGGGCCTTCTGCTCTGTAGGGCCCCTACGTCCAGGACCACTTGTTTGTCAAGGTCTCGGCACCCTCGTCAGGTCAGCTGGGGGCCAAGGCCCCTAACTCCGAGGACTGGGGCTGCCAACACGGGCAGCAGCACAGGAGGCTGAGGGGAGGTCTGCAGGGGCTGCACCTCCTTCCTGGCTGCAGCCCAGCCCACCTCCACGGGCACAGAGCCACTCTCACCAGTGTTGATGGCCTTGAGGGCCTGGTGGGCAGTGTCGCCTGGCGTGGGGGACAGCTCCTGAGCAGGCCGCCGCGTCCCTGGCGCTCTGGTCTCCCCGGGATTCTCAGGCGGCCCACGCTCAGCTGTGATCGCCTTCTGGGCTCTCAGGGCTCGTTTCTGTTGCAGCTCCTGCAGTGGGAGCGTCGCTGAGCACTGACCTCGGGAGAGGACAACCCCAGGCTCCCCAGCCAAGCTGCCCTGAGGCTCGATGTCCTGGGGCTTCACTAAGCACTGCCCCCGGGAGAGGACGACCCCAGGCTCCCCAGC